GACGGTGGTTGGGCTGCAGGCCTACTGCCGTCTCTGTCGACGAGCATCAAGACAGTCTCACTACCGTGATTTTCCCGGTGAGTCTGCGCTTTTTCTCATTCGTCCCGCCACGCACTCAACGAAGACACAGAGCTTAAAGTCACTCCGTAGCCCCGCCCTCTTTTCCTCGCTCCCAGCGCGACTTCGAAGACGTGCGAGCGTCGCTAGTGCCGGTGAGCTGATACCCCTCCGTCGCGTTTCGTGGCTCATCTCAGCGCAGGCAACGAGCACAGCGATCGGCACGCTGTTGCCCGCCCCCTTCCTTCCTCTACGTCGGCGTCTGGGCTATCCCCGACTGTCGTCGTCACCACACACAGCAATTCAGGACACCTCCCCCCTCCTTCTAGGCCCTTTGCCCGGGTCATTCCGACAGCACGCGACGATGCAGGGGGCCTTCTTCTCGAACCTCGTAGGCCGAGGGTACCCAATCCGGGGGCGGATGAAGGTGGGTGCACGAACGCGCGTCAAGCTCTACACTGGAGGGCGATATCTCACGTCGTGTTGACTCTGTTGCAGATGCCTTTTCGTGGACACCCGGGTCCCCATCGGGGTGCACGAGCGCTCTCGCGTAGAGGACGCGTGGAGGACGCAATGAGGGTGGTCCACCCTCGGTCTTGGTGGGTTTGCTCGCCCCCCTAACGCATTCAAACTCCCACTGACCCCCTTCCAAAGTGGATTATCGACATGCCCCGCGCCATGAGACGCACGCGCGGGATCCCTCCGCCGATATAGATGAAGAGGGAGGATTACATCTGTTGAAGGGGGGCATTGCTGCGCGCCGGTGAGTTATGCTCAGTACACATTAACCGCGCTGACCCCCTCCTCCTTGATTTCTCTTAGATCCTCCGACCGCCGGAGGCACGTGTGCGCTCCCCTTTCTGGAGTATGCGAGGGGGAGGGGTCCTCTCCACTTTTTCAAGGGAAAGGAACACGCTGGGAGGGGGAGACGCTAGGTGAGCTGTGCGCTTTTCGGATTTGATATTTCTATAACACGCGCTCACTGAATCCATTCTCAGACCAGGCAGAGCCGCCCAAGGCATACACGCGCTACTTCGGGCGAGAAAGTCGATGGGGCAGGGGACTCGCCCGCATCACGTCAAGTGGGAGCGATATGCGGAGGCACTATGACGCGAGAGAGGGGAGAGATTATTGGTGAGCTGCTCCATTCACCGTTCGCGCTCCTTCGCTATGAAGACCACGGCGAGGGTGGGGTTACCTCCCCCCTACCCTTTTGACCTCATCGTGCTGACCCCGCATTTGAAGGATTTGGAGATGATTTTTGCCGACCCCGAGCCGCCGGAGGCATGCGCGGGGTCCCTCGGTGAAGGATGCGACGAGCGCAGGGTGCCCTCCCTTCCCTTCCGCAGTTACAAGCGGACTGATCCCATTTTACGCGACCATCGGCCAACCTTTTTGCGAGGTCGAGCCGCCGGAGGCGTGCGCGCACCCCCAGTGAAGGCGCGAAGAGGGCGGGGGCCCTCCCCCTTCTCTCCGACCTGAGCTATGTTGGGGGCACCTTGACCCCCTGTAAGAAGTTATTTTGCTGAGACTGAGCCGCCGGAGGCGTGCGGTGCATCCCTCGAAGGGGGATGCGACGAGGGTGGGGGATCCCTCCATCCGCTGATCTTAAGGCCCCCCTTCGCATGATTTTGAGTGACTTCAGGCGTATTCGAGAAACCGGAGGCGAGCGCGGGCCCCCTCGTTGAGGAGTGCGACGAGGGTGGGTCTCCCTCCCCCTTCCCCTGTCATAAGCGTACTGACCCGCCCTCTATAGACCTTGAGACAATTTTCTACGGCGGCAAGCTGCCGAGGCGTGCGCGGGCTCTCTCGGGCGGATGACGCGACGGGGGAGGGTTCTCCCCCACCCTTTCAAGGAAAAGGGATGGACACGGGGACGCTTGAATGCGGGAGGGGGTAGACTTGTCGGCGAGTTATGCCCCTTCAAGTTGTTTTTGGTCAAGCTAACTAACCCGCATCGTCGCTGGGATGAGCCGCCGAAGGCATGCGCTCGCTGCTTAGGGCGGGCTAAGCGCCGGGGAGGGGGTCCCCCACCTTTGGGAGCATGAAGGAGTGTGTGCGGGGCGCCTTCCCTCGCGAAAGGGGGGATGGGGTCACTGGCAAGTCATTTCCATCTCTTTGTTTCCGTCGCAGCGTACCGAGTGCCTCGCCATCGCAGCCAGGTAGAGCCGTTGGTGGCATGCTGGGGTGGGGACCCGCCCCCACCCCCCATTTCCAAAGACTGACGGTTTTTCGACGGGGTCCAGCCGCCGGCGGCGCGCGTGGGCCCCTCGAATGAGGGATGCGTCGAGGGTAGGACTCCCTCACTCCATTCCCCCTTTTTGATAAGCCCGCTGACCCCCTTTCGAAGGGTATTTGGACGACTTTTCGTCGACCCCAAGCCGCCAGAGGCACGCGCGGGGTCCCTCGGTGAAGGATACGACGAGGGTGGGTCACCCTCTCGGCTCCCTCCTTGTTGTGGGGCTACTGACCCTCTTATACAGGATCTTGGATGACTACTCGGCGAGGGGGAGCCGCCGGAGGCGCGCGTGGGGTTGCTCTATGAGAAAAGCGACGAGGGTGAGTTACCCTCCCCCCACCCCATCCCTTCTAATCGCAAGCGGACTTACCCCCCTTTTGCAGGATCTCGCACGGCTTCGGTGAGGCCGCAACGCCGCAGGCGAGAGCGAGATTTGTGGCGGAGGTATAGGGTACTCTCCCCCTTCCCCATCGCCTCAAAATCGTCAGGAGCGTACCGACGCCTTGTGAGGCATTTTTTTTATGGGGCCGAGCCGTCGGAGACGCGCTCGGGCGCCCTAGGTGAGCATTGCGAAGGGGGTGGGGGAACCCTCCCCTTCTCCTTCCCCCCCCCTTTCCTTCTCGAACGCGTACTGATTCTCACTCGGCAGACAATCGGGTGCCTCAAAATCGCCGGGAGCGGTGCGCGCGCTGCCTAGGTGAGTTCTACGTGGAGGGTTGGATACCCTCCCCACCCCCTTCCCGCTATCGGGGACTGACCGCTGTCTGCAGTGCGCTCGTGCCCGCTTAGTCGCTGACGATCAGCGCCTGCTGTCGGTTTGACAAAGGCGGCCGGGTAGGGGACTTCCTACCCCCCTCCCCTTCCCCCGCGAGGACGGGTGTCATTTCATGGTGGCGGTGAGCTATCTTATCCCCCAATCCTTCCCCTCCGTCCCCTTCCCCTTTCCTCCTCCTGCCCGTCCCCTCCCCTTCCCTCCTCTTGCCCCTCCCCTCCCACCTCCACCCCCCGCTCTCATCGACGCCCTCCCATCAGATATCCCTTCATTACCCCTTCCCTCACGATGCGCGCCACCTTCCATGCGATTCTCAAGGCTGGGAAACCGTGAGGTGGGGCGCGACTGCGAGGGGAGGGGCACTGGGATTTGGGTTGGTGCGCCCGAGGCGTGCTTTCTCATTCACTCACTGACGTTTTTGCAGTTCTGGTTGCGATGGAAACAACCGCGTTGACGCGCTATCCGGCTTCGTTCTCCGCGAGGGGAGGAGGGAAAGTGAGGAGTGCGAGCGCGCGGTTCCTCACGAGCGAGGGAAGGGATAGCGGGAGGGGGCTCGTGATGCGAAGATGGCGAGGTGGATGCTACGCGCCTTTCTTTCGAGCTACTTGGGGTGGGGTTTTAGAGTCGCTTTGACTCGCGCGCGACGACGCGACGTCGAGTGGGGTGTAACTCACGAATTCAAATAATTACCACTTTTATCTAGATAGATCGATATACAACGCTTAGAACAAGCGGACGGGCTTGCCCGTGGTCGTCTTGGTGTGCAGCGACCTGACGTTCTGTCAGTTCTTCTTGAGCAGGGGGACCAGGAGGTCGATGCGCAGGCGGAGGGAGGGTGAGTGGCAAGCTCGCGGTTGCGGTCGAACGCGACTTGATTAGAGCTGAATGAGCTAGCGGGGATGAGATGGGATGTGTTATGAGCGGAAGGATGTCCTTTAGCGAGGCGGGGGGAGGTAACGATAGGGATGTCGCTGTCACTCGCGCTTTCCAGGCTTTCGAGCGAAGGCGATGGCTAGGGATTCCGAGCAAAGTGCGGCTGGTAGTAAGCGTGCAGACAGGCTATTTACCATCCTATCGACGAGCTCTGCTGTTGACTCTGTTTACGGGTCCCTTTCCCCTCCCTCCTTCGATCCCGAACTCGGAAATCCCCGCGCGCACGAGGCGCTCGCCGCCGATAACCAGCGCGGGTTCGACTGTTTCGACGCCGAGCGCGCATCGCGCGCGACAGCTTCACGCAGGTCGAGGTAGTCACCGGCCTGGCTGACGCGCTCCCCCTCCTCGCGCTCCCGCACATCACCAGCGCCGCCATCGGGTGGCAGAGCGGCGACGCGGACATCGACGGCGCGGTCAAGCTGATGTGCAAGGGATGGACGGAGCTGGGGAGCTGGTGGAGCACGGTCGATGCGCTTGCCCCATATACCCCGCGGGTGACCTTGCGCACGCTCATCCCGCTCGCGCGGCACTGCCCGGGGTTCAAGAGAATTTTGCTCACGTATCTGGACCTCTCCGACATACCCGATCCGGTGGAGGTGCGAGAGGACGAGCGCGTCGAAAACAGGCCGATCGTACTGGAGTTCATGTGCTCGGTATTGTCGTACGCGCAGGTGAAGCCAGTGGCGGCCTTCCTGACGAGCGTCTTTCCTAAGGGAGGGATAGAGTGCATAGAGCCCGGAATGTCAGAGGAGATGTGGGGGAGAGTATGCGCGAACATGGGCATCAATCTAGGCAAGCTGGACTTTCTCTCATGTGAAAAGTATATCGTGTAGATGGAAGTGCCGCCAGTTTAGAGACTTATAGTGACCTTCGACCGTAACTTGAGACCGATCACGCCTCCACCACGACCATCCCAGCCTGGGATTGTGGCACGGCAGACGGGGCACCTGCAGCAAGGATTAGAATGATGCACACAATGAATACGCTTCTGTGTCTTACTTTGCCTCCAATCCTTCCGGCGTATGCGCCGCACGCAACATCGCGGTCTTGACGGCCGTAAACAGACAGCTCCCACAGCAGATATGGCCGCAGGGAGTCAGAGTCGCATTCGTCGGCGCGAAGAAGCATATTGGGCAAGTATACTCGGCGATGGGCGTCTGCTTGGGCGGTGGCGCGGGCGAAGCGGGCTCCGCTTTGGGCTCGGGTGTAGGTGAGCGCGTAGCGGCGCGCTGTTTCCCCTTCGCGTTGGCAGAAGGAGAGGGGGGCCTGTCAACGACCCCCAGCCCAATGTCGGGCAAAGTCTCGACGTCGGCGTACTGCTCCGGCTGCTCCAGTACGTCCGCGACTGTCAGGTCAAAGCCAACTTCCCCGGGGCCCTCGCCAGATAGAGCCTGCGTGTTTCCCGCCGAGAATGTACCGATTTCTGATCCGTCGTGCGGAGCGTGTATAGCAGCAATCCTCCGCGATCTTTTGGGCTGCCTTGGCAGGCTGACTGATCTGTGCTTGCGCTTTCTACTTCCAGACGATGATCCGGTCGTAGACACACTATCAGTGAGATCAATGGATCCCGGAGTAGATGCACGAGAGCTGGTGGCAGAACGCGCGGCGCGAACGAGAGATGCGGCGCGTGAGCGAGGCTCGCGGTTCCTGCTGGTCATGGGCGTTGGGAGAGGAGAGTCGTCCGCTCGCGTGTAGCCCCTGTCGACGTGTCGCGCTCGCTGCCCGCATCGACTCGCTGCTTGGCATTCACTCTTCCCGCAACTACTGGGGACGTCGACGCGGCAACCGCGGATGACGACACGATTGCGACGGCGTAGAGAGGACGCGAGGACGCGGGGACGGGAGGGTGGCTGCTTGGTGGGATGTGCTCGCTGTCGCGCCGGCTCCGACGAGCTGTCAGCGGGTACGCGGTTGGGTGTGCCAGCGATCGCAGGAGGAGAGAAGGGCGCGAAGGCTGCCGGCACGCCAGCTGTCAAGGCGCGACGTCATCGCCGCGGGCTTCCGAGTCTGCGTTCGAGTCCCGCGCGACTTGTCGGGTGAGCGGTGGCCAGACGGCGAGGCTAGGTAGACTCGAGTCAGCATCGAGATGGCGGTCTCCGACGGTCGTCCCTGCGCGCCCCGCGTGACGTGACCGAACATCAACCGTCGCGTTTCCTAATCGGTGAAAAGTGAGAAAATTCGCATCTACGACCTCCTGTAATTGCTATCTCGCGATCCGCTGCAGCTAGCGACTTCGGACAGCGTGCGGCGGGAGTGCATTCACCAAACTAAGAGGTCCCCGAGGTTACAAGTCGCTGCAATTACTCGCTCCTTTACTATTCCCTCCGAACTCGCTGGGAAAGCGTGACACCTCCGCTCTAACAATTGTGCAGGCTCGAGTCCTTCTCCGTTCCTTGTCGTTCAAAGACAAAACTAAAGGGTGTGGGTAGGCCAACCTCTCTGCAAAACAACTAGTCCCTCCCCCTCCTTGCTCCCCTCCTCTCGATTTTTCTCTCCCAGTCACTCTCCTCTGCCACCAGCGCCCACCATCACAGACCATCACAGACCCCGCTCCAGACATCACAGACCCTGCTCGAGCCATCAAAAATCATCCGTTATCCACGAAAATTATTCCGTGATCTCGCTCGGACGTCGTTTGATGGCTATTAATCGCCATCGAGGGCTCGCCTCGGCCCCCCTTCCGTCGTACGAGCTCTCATTTACCTTCCGCGAGCTGATCCGTAGCTGCTCGAGACACGGCCATGGGTCGGACATATAAGGTAGGGGCGTGAGGTGGGTGCACATTCTGCCCATGCTACATGCTACAGTGAACACAACGAGTACAAGGCTCGAGATAGGCTACAAGCGTATAGGTGACAAGCGCTGTGGGTGAGTGGGAGAGAATGGACGGAGCGCAGGGGGATGGAGAGTGCAGCCGAGGTGTTGACGGATGAGATGTAAAGGTCGAGGGTGAGATGAGACGCCGACGGGCGAGACTAGCCGTGGTCGAGGCTGCGGGGATGTTCGAGAGGCTGTCGAGGGGGTGAGAAGATAGAGCAGGAGACGAGAAGACCGAGACTCAGTCGAGTCGATTCGAGCATGGTGAGCATCAAGTCGAATGGATCGAAAGCCGAAATCAAGGGTAGAGTCGAGACTCGTCGGGTTGCCACACAAGTCAGTCATGAGCAAGTCGAGATCGAGAATGAGTGAGTCGAGACCGAGACTGAGCAAGTCGAGATCGAGAATGAGCAACTTGAGACCGAGAATGAGCACGTCAAGACCGAGAACGAGCAAGTCAAGACCGTGCAAGCCCAACAAACGAGCTAAACAGCCAAGGTCATATTGCATAGTACACATCATGACAGGAGTATAGAAGGCTTCGCAGAAACAGTGAAGTCGTGAGAAAGCGCTCGAGAAGGTAGAAAGGTATCCGGGAGGTCAGAGAAGCGCTCGAGGGGTCAGTGAGATGCTCACAGCTGCATCGGAACATTCGAGGGCCAGCAACGCACTCGCGGGTTGGCAACACGCTCGCGGGTCAGCAAAGTGCTCGAGAGCCTATCTGTGTGGTCGAGAAGGTCTCGAGTAGGTAAGGCTGCCCCGGCCGTATCACCTCGCTCGGCGGACAAAGATCCATGGACATATTAATTGGGGGGCTTTGTAGATCACTCGGGGGCCTTCGTAGATCGCTCGGAGGGATTCGGGCGTTATGAGATCGTTCGGGAGGCGACGGACGATGATGGGGAGATCTAGGAGGGTGAAGAGAGTGCCGGGAAGCTTGGGGTGAGCGCTGGGCAGCTTGGCGTAAGCGCTAAATGGCTCAGGGTGAGCACGGGAAGCTCGAAGCGAGACAGATTCATAGAGGGGTCGCGCTTGAAGCGAAAAGCGAGGGTGAATGACGAGCTCGAGAGCGGAAGCGGAAGCGAGGATGGCGGGCAAAGTGGAAGGGCCTGCTTCAGAGCGAAGGCGAGGGTCAAGGTCGCGCTCGGGGGAGGCGAGGCGATTGCCTTGGGAGGACAGGCATGGCAGTTGACTTGAGAGCGATGATAGAGGCTACAGCTGAACAAGACAGTGAAGAGTCAGCGTTTGACCGACGAGTATGAAGTAGAGCACGTACCTTATTACCCCGCTCGCCGGACGGAATTCTATTGCTTCAGCGCTTGAATCGACGGGAGAGCATCGGGGCTGAATCCGACACGCGAGAGTCAACGAGGAGTAGTTGCGGCGAAGCCACAGTCGCCCAAGAGTCATCAAGGTGAAGCGAAGGTCGTTGAGCTTGCACGGCGGGAATAACGATGCTGGGAGCGTCGATGACGTGCAGATAGCGCTGGGGGTCTGATGCTCGGGTTTGCGCGACGAAGATGGTGCTGCTGAGTCGATGGCGGTGTCAGCGAGTTCTTGAGTGCGAGCGGAGGCTTCGAGGGCTAATCTTCCGCTTGCCAAACATCAATTTCACCGCCGCAGGATTCTGGAGCGTTGTGAGCTGTCGGCTCTCGTATGAGAAGCAGGTTACGCACCGTATATCCCTGCTCGGCGGACGAGAATACATCGCTTCAGAGATTGATGAGGTGGTTGGCAAGGACGAGGGAGCGACGTAGGGGACTTCTCATTCGTGGACGAGCCTGCGAGTCGTGGGATGGCGAGGCATGTGGTCGGCGAACGGAGATCTGGGCCGGGGGTCTTCCGGCCTCATTCGGCGGACGAGAATCATTCGTGTCGTTGTGATCTGGGCACTTGTAAGCGTCGGGATAGATTGCAAGAACCTCATTACACACCGTATGTCACCACTTGGCGGACGACGATTAATTGCTTCAGCATTGTATCCGACTCGAAGGTGGTGTACGGTGATGAGGATGAGTCTCGGCGCTGTCGAAGGACTCTGACAGCGGCGGGGGACAGATTTGACGACAGGGAGACGGTCTAGAGCAGAGTGAGCGCGGATTCCTGGCGGGGTAAAGAGTAGGACGTACCGTATATACCCGCTCGCCGGGCGAAGACATCCATTTACCCATCGACTACGGCGATTTGCGCATAGCGAGTCCCTGGATGTCGAATGCCGAGCGTTCAGCATTGGGTCGAAATCAGCAGACGTGGAAGTTGAGCAAAAGCGCTCGCAGCTGTTGTGAGCTCGACACCGACGACGAGATGGTATGAGAGGAAGGACACGGCGGCGCAAAGCGCCACCACGGATGGGAAAGTCGGGCGGCGAGACGGGCAGTCGGCGGTCCGAGAGCGCACGAGAGCGACCGATCGCCCCGATTCCGGGTTTCAGGGTCGCGGACAGACGGGGGAACCTCCCAAAGTCGGAAGGTTTTGACAAGAAGCTTGTCGGAGTCAACAAATCGACATTCCTCCCCGTGCGGGGAATTTGCCTAGGCCACTCCGCGCGGGTGCCTGAGTTGAAGAGGTCTTGTCCTTGCCGATAAACGTGCTCGAGCAGCGCGACGCTCGACGCAGAGGTCGCCGCTGGAGGGCTCGCTTCGTAAGTTTTCTCGCAGCGAAATGAGCAAAATAGATGGAATTGGCATATCACAGTCGGACTGAGTGAGAAGACAGGCCCCCCGACATTGCCGGAGTCACCTGCACAGCGAGGGGGCGGTCGACGGGGCGGCGCGCAGACACGGGGAACGACGGTGACGGCCGGGAACAAGGAACGTGCCTTAAGCGCCGGGCGCTTACCGGCTTCCGCCCTGCCCCGCCGGTCGTCGGCAATTGCCGACCGCGCTTCCCCCGCCCGCCTCCCGCGTTCTGCGCCCATCGCCGTCGCCCCCCGTACTTGCGACAACGGCATCCTCGTCGCCAAGTGACTCCCCTCGCATCTCCAACGAACGGAACAGACAGCACAACGGTATCGCTCGAAAGCTTTCGAACGACGCGGCTACTGCTTCATGACGCGATCTCAGCCTACGGCACCTATCCCCCATTACCCCCAGCACCCACGATGGGTCCAGGCATGTCCCAGACGCACCTCCAAAACATCTCCGAAGGCGCACCTGGTGTCGGTCAGCAGGGAGCGCGTCCTCTCTTATCGTAACTGAAGGTCGAAGCAAGATGTATGCATACCCGACCCGAATATCCATGGTAAGTCGACACTTGCGTGGAAATACTTGACCTCCAAGGATAGAAGGGGGGACCGTATAGATACGTTATCTGCCAATGCGACTCGCCTCCGCGTCACATTGAGGTCTGTAGGACATCGGGAAGGGCGTTTTGAATATGTGGCGTCGTTTTTGGTGCGTTCGTACATTCACCGCATGAGCCTTCTCTGACCGGAGAAACACAGATAAATAGTCTTCGAGTAGTATACATGCGACTCGGGAGGTTTGGACAGCCCCGGCGCCATTCCCACCTTGCGATACACACCGTCTCCTCGTCCTCCCGCATCTTCCCCATCACGAACATGCCCTATACACGACGCCCAGTCCCATGTACGTCACTGCGGCTACACTACCGGACATACCTAGAGCATTACGACGCTCCCCGGACTCGGCCTCGGCGTGCAAATCGCCGAGCATTTGCTCGCCGCCATGCACCTCCCCGACGACATCCTCCGCTTTACGGTACGTGGATCCTTCCAAACGCGATGGTCTAGACACTAAAATATCGGATCAGAAGTTTTGAAGTTTATTGCGCGCCGGCGGCGGCCTCGGCGCGTCCGTGGCCACTCCGCTATCCTCCCCTTGGCGAGAACAATGGACCAGCCCCATTGTGCCCTTGCTGAGGACCGCCAACCATCTTGACATCGCCGCATACACGTGTCCCGCTACTGCCGTAGCTTTGAGATAGCGAGTTGGTGAGGAGGAGGCGCTTCTGGCGCGCCGCCCTCCGCGCAGCTCAAAGCCTGCTAAATGGAGATAGAGCCTGATGGCAGCAAGTTGGACTCTTTCCCGGTCTTTGCTGCGTCGCACCCGCGCCACGTCAGCACCGCCACGTGTCGCGCGCTCTCTGCGACCTTACTGACGCTGTTTCCCGGTGGACGCGGTCGAGTAGGTGCTGTACAACGTCCTGCAACTTGCGCGCCACCCAACGGACAGATCGCATAAGCCCTCGTACTTCCCCGCCGGGGGCCACGTGCGCGGCATCCCAAGCCCGGCTGAGCGAGTCTCGACGCACTTTCTGCACGCTCTGACTGACATTCGCGCAGGGGAAGCAGCGGAAGATCGAATGCGCGCTCTGCGCGCATCCCCCCAATCTTCCGACTTTCCGGTGGGCGGGTCCCGGTCGCGGATAGCCGAGGTCTGATCCGGAAATATGCGACGCCGGTCTGGAAGATTGGGCGGCGACTGGGCACGGCGTTGGGCCGTTTGCGAGGTATAAAGGGTAGGGCATCTAACCGCTCCAATCAGCAATTCACCCCCTCCCCATTCTCTCCTACCTCCCCTTCGCCTAACCGTCCCTTCGTGAAGGATTTCTGACCACCGTCGTATGTGATTCCCCTGATCCTTTGCTTGTTCTGAGACTCACAACCTCTTGCCTTTAGGTCAACCGTCTCTCTTCGGCACATTCACTGGTAAGTCTGCCTCCCTTACTCGCTACTACTTGTTATACTCACCCCACTCCTTATTCAGATGCTCTACGAACTATTGGTGCTCGCGCTTGCATTCCTACGAGCGCTCTACGCATTTACTGATCGCTTTCACAGGCTTCTTGCAACGCGCACCATCAATCGACACCAAACGCACTTGCCGGTTTCGATGCTCCACGGGCATGTCTATAGCTCTCTATCTATCTGTTGTACTTCCTAACTCATTAGACAGTGATAGCGCTGCACGTCGCTGCCTGACCCTTGCTCGCCGGGTAAGCACGGGCTGGATTTTCGGTGTCGCGCCACCCTGACCGGGCGTGCTCTAGGCCATCACGTCGACCACCCCGACTTGCTACGGCAACTCTCATCTCACCACCATCAACGCCGACGCCGCGCTCATCTTCCGCGCCTCGATGCACGCTCAGCAGGCATGCAATTGAAGGTCGGGGGACGCGGTCGACTCCTTCTGTAGCTCCCGAACTCTCTGACTCGGCGCGTCTAGCACTCCGGGCGATGCGGATGGCGTTGTGGTATGCGGTAAGCACGGCATTATCTTTTTATGCATGTTGGTCCTGACGCGCTCGAGGGAGACCGCTCGACGGTGTTCGGGTTGGAGCGGGCCGCCATACGGCCTCCGACGGTGGTTGGGCTGCAGGTCTGATGCCGTGTCTGTCGAGAAGCAACAAGACGGTCTCACTACCGTGCTGCTCACGGTGAGTCAGCGCTCTTTCTCACCTTCACGTACTCAACGAAGGCATGGAGCGCGATCTCACCCTGAAGCCCCGCCCCCTTTTCCTCGCTCTCGACGCGACTTCGAAGGCGTGCGAGCGTCGTCAGTGTCGGTGAGCCAATACCCCTCCGTCGCGTCCCATGCCTCACTTCAGCGCAGGCGATGAGCGCGGCGTTCGGCCTGCCGTTGCCCGCACCCTTCCGACGTTTATGTCGGCGCCTGGGCTATTCCCGACTGTCGTCGTCACCACGCGCAGCGATTCAGGACACCTCCCCCCTCCTTCTAGGCCCTTTTCCCGGGTAATTCCGACAGCACGCGATGATGCAGGGGGCCTTTTCTCGAAACCCGGTGGCGGGGGTACCCAAGTCAGCCGTAATAGCGAGCTGGGGGTGAGGGGGGACCTACACTGGAGGGTGATACAGCATTGCATTTCCCGCCTTCACGTCGTGCTGACTCGTTCTCAGATGTCTTTTCGTGGACACCCGGGCCGCCGGAGGCATACACGCGCGCTCTCGGGCGAAGGAGGCGATGAGGGTGGTCCGCCATCGGTCTTGGTGGGTTTGCTCGCCCCCTAACCGCATTGATAGTCCCGCTGACCCCCTTCCAAAGTGAATTATCGACATGTCTCGCGCCATGAGACGCACACGCCAGCCCCCTTTGCCGATCCAGGTGAAGAGGGAGGGGTATATCTCCTTGAGAACTGGAGGAGAGGGGGCATTGCGGCGCGCCGGTGGATTATGCTCATCATATATTAACCTCGCTGACCCCTTTTTCCATAATTTCTCTTAGGTCCCCCGACTGCCGGGGGCACGCGCGCGCTCCCTCTTCCAGAGCATGAGATGGGGGAGGGGCCCTCCCCACTTCTTTGAGGGCAAGCGGCGCGCTGGGAGGGGGTGGGATGCTGGGTAAGTTATGCGCTTTTTATTCTTATTTCTGCAAAGCGCACTTACTCGACCCAATTTCAGACAAGGCTGAAACGCCGAAGGCATACGCGCGCTGCTTCGGGCGAGGTAGCCGATGGGGGAGGGGACTCGCCCCGCATCACGCCAAGTGGGAGCGATATGCGGAGGCACTATGACGCGAGAGGGGGACGAGATTATCGGTGAGCTGATCCCTTTACCGCTCGCGCTCCTTTGCGATGAAGACCACGGCGATGGCGGGGGTACCTCGCCCCCCTACCCTTTCGACCTCATCGTGCTGACCCCGCTTTTGATGGATTTTGGAACGAAGTTTCACCGACCCCGAGCCGCCGGAGGCATGCGCGGGGTTCCTCGGTGAAGGATGCGATGAGGGCGGGGTGCCCTCCCTTCCCTTTCGCAGTTACAAACAGACTAATCCCATGTTACGCGACCATCGGCCAATTTTTTGGCGAGGTCGGGCCGCCGGAGGCGCGCGCGCACCCCCTAGTGAAGGCCGCGAAGAGGGCGGGGGCCCTCCACCTTCTTTCCGACTTGAGTCAGGTTGGGGGACCTTGACCCCTTCTATGATGTCCTTCTGCTGAGCCTGAGTTTCCGGAAGCGTGCGGGACATCCCTCGAGGGGGGTTGTGACAAGGGTGGGGGATCCCTCCATCCGCTGATCTCAAGGCCCCCCTTCGCATGATTTTGAGTGACTTCAGGCGTATTCGAGAAACCGGAGGCGAGCGCGGGCCCCCTCGTTGAGGGGGGCGACGAGGGTGGGTCTCCCTCCCCTTCCCCTGTCATAAGCGTACTGACCCGCCCTCTATAGACCTTGAGACAATTATCGACGGCGGCAAGCTGCCGAGGCGTGCGCGGGCTCTCTCGGGCGGATGACGCGACGGGGGAGGGTTCTCCCCCACCCTTTCAAGGAAAAGGGATGGACATGGGGACGCTTGAATGCGGGAGGGGGTGAAGTTGTCGGTGTGTTATACCCCTTCCTTGTTTTTGGTCAAACTTACTAACTCGCATCTTCGCTAGGTTGAGCAGCCGAAGGCATGCACACGGTGCTTCGGGCGAGCTAAGCGCTGGGGGAGGGGTTCCTTCTACCTCTGGGAGCGCGAAGGAGTGGGCGAGGGGCGCCTTCCCTCGCGAAAGGGGGGATGGGGTCATTGGCAAGTCATTTCCATCCCTTTCGTTCTGTTGCAGCGTACCGAGTGCCTCGCATTCACAACCAGGTAGAGCCGTTGGTGGCATGCTGGGGTGGGGACCCGCCCCCACCCCCCATTTCCAAAGCCTAACGATTTTTCGACGGGGTCCAGCCGCCGGAGACGCGCGTGGGCCCCGCGAATGAGTGAAGCGTCGAGGGTAGGACACCCTCCCTCCACTCCCCCTTTTTCATACGCCCGCTGACCCCCTTTTGAAGGATATTTGGACGACTTTTCGTCGACCCCGAGCCGCCGGAGGCACGCGGGGGGTCCCTCGGTGATGGATGCGACGAGGGTGGGTCACCCTCTCGCCCCCCTACTTGTCGTGAAGCCACTGACTCACTTATACAGGATGTTTTTGACGACAATTCGGCGAGGGGGATCCGCCGGAGGCGCGCGTGGGGTTACTCTATGAGAAAAGCGACGAGGGTGGGTCACCCTCCCCCCTCCCCCCTCCGTTCTAATCGCAAGCGGACTTAACCTCCTTTCGCAGGATCTCGCGCGACTTTCGGTGAGACCGCACCGCCGGAGGCAAGAGCGAGGTTCCTAGATGAGATTTGTGGCGGGGGTAGGTTACCCTCCCCCTCCCCCATCTCCTCAAAATCGTCAGGAGCGTGCCGACGCCTTGTACTAAGGCGATTTTTCGCTGGGATAGAGCCGCCGGAGGCGTGCGCGGGCGCCCTAGGTGAGCATTGCGAAGGGGGTGGGATACCCTCACCCCTTCCCCTTTCCTTCTTGAACGCGTATTGACTCTGGCTCAGCCCCTCCCCATTCCCTTCCTACTATCGACGAATTACCGCTGTCGGCAGTTTGTGCCCGCTTGGTCACCGACGATCAACGCCTGCTGTCGGTATGACGAAGGCGAGGGGGGAGGGGACTTCTCCCCATTCCCCCTTCCCCCTCTCCGGCGAGAGCGGATGTCATATCATGGCGGTGAGCTATCATATTCCCCAATTTTCCCTCCTATCCCCTCCTCCTTCCCGTCGCCTCCCCGTCTCCCCTCCGCGCCCTCCCTGCCCTTTCTCGGCGCTTTCCCCTTCCACCCTCACGCTCTCATCTACACCCTCCCCTCCGATATCCCTCCGTTACCCCTTCTATCCACGACGCGCGCCACCTTCAACGCGATTCTCAAGCCTGGGAAACCGTGAGATGGTGCGCGACGGCGAGGGAGGGGCACTGAGATGGGAATTGGTGCGCTTGGGGCGTGCGTTCTCATTCACGCGCTGACGTTTCTGCAGTTCTGGTGCGATGGAACGACTGCGTTGACGCGCTAGCCGCCTTCGTCCTTCGCGAGTGGAGGAGGGAGGGGGAGGAGAGCGAGCACTTCGGTCTTCACGAGCGAGGGAAGGGATAGCAGAAGGGGGCTCGTAATGAGCAGAAGGCGAGGTGGATGTCACGCGCCCTTCTCTCGAGACTTGGGGTGGGTTTTCGAGTCGCTTTGACTCGCACTCGACGACGCGACGGCTCTGCAAGCGTCGGGTGGGGTGTAGCTCACGAGTTCAAATAATTATGACTTTGTTATTTAGATAGAGCGATGCACAACGCTTAGAACAAGCGGACGGGCTTGCCCGTGGTCGTCTTGATGTGCAGCGACCTGACGTTTTGTCAGTTCTTCTTGAGCAGGGGGACCAGCAGGGAGGGTGAGTGGCAAGCTCGCGATTTCGGTAGAGCGGGACTTGATTAGGGCTGAATGAGCGAGCGGGGATGAGATAGGATGGATTTTGAGTGATAGGGAGTCCCTTAGCGACGCGGGGGGAAGGGGGATGTCGCTCTCACTCACGCTTTTCAGGCTTTCGAGTGAAGGCGATGGCTAGGGATTCCGAGAAAAGTCGCGGTGCGGCTGGTAGTAAGCGTCCAGACAGAGTAGTTTACCATTCTATCGACGAACTCTGCTGTTGACTCTGTTTACAAATCCCTTCCCCCTCCCTCCTTCGATCCCGAACTCGGAAATCCCCGCGCGCACGAGGCGCTCGCCACCGATAACCAGCACGCGTTCGACTTTTTCGACGACGAGCGCGCATCGCGCGCGACAGCCTCACGCAGGTCAACGTCGTCCCCGGCTTGGCTGGCGCACTCCCCCTCCTTGCGCTCCCGCACATCACCAGCGCCGCCATCGGGTGGCAGAGCGGCGACGCGGACATCGACGGCGCGGTCGAGCTGATGTGCAAGGCGTGGCCGGAGCTGGAGGAGCTGGAGATAATGCCGGATGCGCCGTGGAGCATACACGATGCGCTTGCCCCGTATACCCCGCGAGTGACCTTGCGCACGCTCATCCCGCTCGCGCGGCACTGCCCGAACTTGAGGAGATTTTTGCTCACGTATCTGGACCTCTCCGACATACCCGATCCGGTGGAGCTGCGAGAGGACGAGCGCGTCGAAAACAGGCCGATCGTGTTGGAATTCATGTGCTCGGTATTGTCGTACGCGCAGGTGAAGCCAGTGGCGGCCTTCCTGACGAGCGTCTTTCTTAAGGGAGGGATAGAGCGCATAGAGCCCGGAATGTCAGAGGAGATGTGGGGAAGGGTATGCGCGAACATGGGCATCCATCTCGGCAAGCTGGACTTTTCCTCATGTGAAAAGTATATCGTGTAGGTGGAAGTGCCGCCAGTTTAGAGACTTATAGTGACCTTCGAACGTAACTTGAGACCGATCACGCCTCCACCACGACCATCCCAGCCTGGGATTGTGGCACGGCAGACGGGGCACCTGCAGCAAGGATTAGAATGATACACACAATGAATACGCTTCTGTGTCTTACTTTGCCTCCAATCCTTCCGGCGTATGCGCCGCACGCAACATCGCGGTCTTGACGGCCGTAAACAGACAGCTCCCACAGCAGATATGGCCGCAGGGAGTCAGTGTCGCATTGGTCGGCGCGAAGAAGCATATTGGGCAAGTGTACTCGGCGAGGGGCGTCTGCTTGGGCGGTGGCGCGGGCAAAGCGGGCTCCGCTTTGGGCTCGGGTGTAGGTGAGCGCGTAGCGGCGCGCTGTTTCCCCTTCGCGTTGGCAGAAGGAGAGGGGGGCCTGTCAACGACCCCCAGCCCAATGTCGGGCAAAGTCTCGACGTCGGCGTACTGCTCCGGCTGCTCCAGTACGTCCGCGACTGTCAGGTCAAAGCCAACTTCCCCGGGGCCCTCGCCAGATAGAGCCTGCGTGTTTCCCGCCGAGAATGTACCGATTTCTGATCCGTCGTGCGGAGCGTGTATAGCAGCAATCCTCCGCGATCTTTTGGGCTGCCTTGGCAGGCTGACTGATCTGTGCTTGCGCTTTCTACTTCCAGACGATGATCCGGTCGTAGACACACTATCAGTGAGATCAATGGATCCCGGAGTAGATGCACGAGAGCTGGTGGCAGAACGCGCGGCGCGAACGAGAGATGCGGCGCGTGAGCGAGGCTCGCGGTTCCTGCTGGTCATGGGCGTTGGGAGAGGAGAGTCGTCCGCTCGCGTGTAGCCCCTGTCGACGTGTCGCGCTCGCTGCCCGCATCGACTCGCTGCTTGGCATTCACTCTTCCCGCAACTACTGGGGACGTCGACGCGGCAACCGCGGATGACGACACGATTGCGACGGCGTAGAGAGGACGCGAGGACGCGGGGACGGGAGGGTGGCTGCTTGGTGGGATGTGCTCGCTGTCGCGCCGGCTCCGACGAGCTGTCAGCGGGTACGCGGTTGGGTGTGCCAGCGATCGCAGGAGGAGAGAAGGGCGCGAAGGCTGCCGGCACGCCAGCTGTCAAGGCGCGACGTCATCGCCGCGGGCTTCCGAGTCTGCGTTCGAGTCCCGCGCGACTTGTCGGGTGAGCGGTGGCCAGACGGCGAGGCTAGGTAGACTCGAGTCAGCATCGAGATGGCGGTCTCCGACGGTCGTCCCTGCGCGCCCCGCGTGACGTGACCGAACATCAACCGTCGCGTTTCCTAATCGGTGAAAAGTGAGAAAATTCGCATCTACGACCTCCTGTAATTGCTATCTCGCGATCCGCTGCAGCTAGCGACTTCGGACAGCGTGCGGCGGGAGTGCATTCACCAAACTAAGAGGTCCCCGAGGTTACAAGTCGCTGCAATTACTCGCTCCTTTACTATTCCCTCCGAACTCGCTGGGAAAGCGTGACACCTCCGCTCTAACAATTGTGCAGGCTCGAGTCCTTCTCCGTTCCTTGTCGTTCAAAGACAAAACTAAAGGGTGTGGGTAGGCCAACCTCTCTGCAAAACAACTAGTCCCTCCCCCTCCTTGCTCCCCTCCTCTCGATTTTTCTCTCCCAGTCACTCTCCTCTGCCACCAGCGCCCACCATCACAGACCATCACAGACCCCGCTCCAGACATCACAGACCCTGCTCGAGCCATCAAAAATCATCCGTTATCCACGAAAATTATTCCGTGATCTCGCTCGGACGTCGTTTGATGGCTATTAATCGCCATCGAGGGCTCGCCTCGGCCCCCCTTCCGTCGTACGAGCTCTCATTTACCTTCCGCGAGCTGATCCGTAGCTGCTCGAGACACGGCCATGGGTCGGACATATAAGGTAGGGGCGTGAGGTGGGTGCACATTCTGCCCATGCTACATGCTACAGTGAACACAACGAGTACAAGGCTCGAGATAGGCTACAAGCGTATAGGTGACAAGCGCTGTGGGTGAGTGGGAGAGAATGGACGGAGCGCAGGGGGATGGAGAGTGCAGCCGAGGTGTTGACGGATGAGATGTAAAGGTCGAGGGTGAGATGAGACGCCGACGGGCGAGACTAGCCGTGGTCGAGGCTGCGGGGATGTTCGAGAGGCTGTCGAGGGGGTGAGAAGATAGAGCAGGAGACGAGAAGACCGAGACTCAGTCGAGTCGATTCGAGCATGGTGAGCATCAAGTCGAATGGATCGAAAGCCGAAATCAAGGGTAGAGTCGAGACTCGTCGGGTTGCCACACAAGTCAGTCATGAGCAAGTCGAGATCGAGAATGAGTGAGTCGAGACCGAGACTGAGCAAGTCGAGATCGAGAATGAGCAACTTGAGACCGAGAATGAGCACGTCAAGACCGAGAACGAGCAAGTCAAGACCGTGCAAGCCCAACAAACGAGCTAAACAGCCAAGGTCATATTGCATAGTACACATCATGACAGGAGTATAGAAGGCTTCGCAGAAACAGTGAAGTCGTGAGAAAGCGCTCGAGAAGGTAGAAAGGTATCCGGGAGGTCAGAGAAGCGCTCGAGGGGTCAGTGAGATGCTCACAGCTGCATCGGAACATTCGAGGGCCAGCAACGCACTCGCGGGTTGGCAACACGCTCGCGGGTCAGCAAAGTGCTCGAGAGCCTATCTGTGTGGTCGAGAAGGTCTCGAGTAGGTAAGGCTGCCCCGGCCGTATCACCTCGCTCGGCGGACAAAGATCCATGGACATATTAATTGGGGGGCTTTGTAGATCACTCGGGGGCCTTCGTAGATCGCTCGGAGGGATTCGGGCGTTATGAGATCGTTCGGGAGGCGACGGACGATGATGGGGAGATCTAGGAGGGTGAAGAGAGTGCCGGGAAGCTTGGGGTGAGCGCTGGGCAGCTTGGCGTAAGCGCTAAATGGCTCAGGGTGAGCACGGGAAGCTCGAAGCGAGACAGATTCATAGAGGGGTCGCGCTTGAAGCGAAAAGCGAGGGTGAATGACGAGCTCGAGAGCGGAAGCGGAAGCGAGGATGGCGGGCAAAGTGGAAGGGCCTGCTTCAGAGCGAAGGCGAGGGTCAAGGTCGCGCTCGGGGGAGGCGAGGCGATTGCCTTGGGAGGACAGGCATGGCAGTTGACTTGAGAGCGATGATAGAGGCTACAGCTGAACAAGACAGTGAAGAGTCAGCGTTTGACCGACGAGTATGAAGTAGAGCACGTACCTTATTACCCCGCTCGCCGGACGGAATTCTATTGCTTCAGCGCTTGAATCGACGGGAGAGCATCGGGGCTGAATCCGACACGCGAGAGTCAACGAGGAGTAGTTGCGGCGAAGCCACAGTCGCCCAAGAGTCATCAAGGTGAAGCGAAGGTCGTTGAGCTTGCACGGCGGGAATAACGATGCTGGGAGCGTCGATGACGTGCAGATAGCGCTGGGGGTCTGATGCTCGGGTTTGCGCGACGAAGATGGTGCTGCTGAGTCGATGGCGGTGTCAGCGAGTTCTTGAGTGCGAGCGGAGGCTTCGAGGGCTAATCTTCCGCTTGCCAAACATCAATTTCACCGCCGCAGGATTCTGGAGCGTTGTGAGCTGTCGGCTCTCGTATGAGAAGCAGGTTACGCACCGTATATCCCTGCTCGGCGGACGAGAATACATCGCTTCAGAGATTGATGAGGTGGTTGGCAAGGACGAGGGAGCGACGTAGGGGACTTCTCATTCGTGGACGAGCCTGCGAGTCGTGGGATGGCGAGGCATGTGGTCGGCGAACGGAGATCTGGGCCGGGGGTCTTCCGGCCTCATTCGGCGGACGAGAATCATTCGTGTCGTTGTGATCTGGGCACTTGTAAGCGTCGGGATAGATTGCAAGAACCTCATTACACACCGTATGTCACCACTTGGCGGACGACGATTAATTGCTTCAGCATTGTATCCGACTCGAAGGTGGTGTACGGTGATGAGGATGAGTCTCGGCGCTGTCGAAGGACTCTGACAGCGGCGGGGGACAGATTTGACGACAGGGAGACGGTCTAGAGCAGAGTGAGCGCGGATTCCTGGCGGGGTAAAGAGTAGGACGTACCGTATATACCCGCTCGCCGGGCGAAGACATCCATTTACCCATCGACTACGGCGATTTGCGCATAGCGAGTCCCTGGATGTCGAATGCCGAGCGTTCAGCATTGGGTCGAAATCAGCAGACGTGGAAGTTGAGCAAAAGCGCTCGCAGCTGTTGTGAGCTCGACACCGACGACGAGATGGTATGAGAGGAAGGACACGGCGGCGCAAAGCGCCACCACGGATGGGAAAGTCGGGCGGCGAGACGGGCAGTCGGCGGTCCGAGAGCGCACGAGAGCGACCGATCGCCCCGATTCCGGGTTTCAGGGTCGCGGACAGACGGGGGAACCTCCCAAAGTCGGAAGGTTTTGACAAGAAGCTTGTCGGAGTCAACAAATCGACATTCCTCCCCGTGCGGGGAATTTGCCTAGGCCACTCCGCGCGGGTGCCTGAGTTGAAGAGGTCTTGTCCTTGCCGATAAACGTGCTCGAGCAGCGCGACGCTCGACGCAGAGGTCGCCGCTGGAGGGCTCGCTTCGTAAGTTTTCTCGCAGCGAAATGAGCAAAATAGATGGAATTGGCATATCACAGTCGGACTGAGTGAGAAGACAGGCCCCCCGACATTGCCGGAGTCACCTGCACAGCGAGGGGGCGGTCGACGGGGCGGCGCGCAGACACGGGGAACGACGGTGACGGCCGGGAACAAGGAAC